TGGCGGTGTGCGGGGCGGGGGGTGGGGGGTGGGGTTGTATTTCTCAAGGCTGATATGGATAATTTGGCCATGTTCCTAGCCAATGTTATGTGGGACATCTTAACATTCCATTTCTATTTGTCTTTAATGATGAGAAATACAAGTCACCAAAAATGGTATATATGATTGTCACTAGATAAATAGTGCCATGGTCCTCCTGTTCATATATGTTGCCTATTTGATATGCAAGTATTTCATAACTTAACCTAGAAAGTTGTAATCTCCATGGACTGTATTCTGCATTTGATTTTGATGTTGCTCTACTATATATTTTTAATTACCCAAAACTGTCCTTGTATTTTTGGGTTTATTTTGCTAGCTTGCTTATTTAATTTTTAACTTGACAGATATCAGTTAAAAGATCAGCTTCTATTGACTCCTGAGGAATTGAATGTGTCAGCTATTCCTTTATTGGAGGTTTTAGTATTGTTAATTAATCGCAAATTGCCATGGAGCTGTAGGATAGTAGAATATCTTTTTCAAAACAATGCAGTCGGCCTACTCAGAGAGATCATTCTCACAGGAAAGGTAATATCTTTCAGAATCATGTTATTTCATAATTTTATAGATTATCAGGTGAACAATGGAAAATAATTAGTGTAGTTTAATTCTTGCTTCCTCCTTTTTTGTGTGGGTGAAAAAGAATCCTTGTTTTGTAAATGCATGATGTGACAAATATATATTTATCTTGAGATAAATTTCTTCAGAATGTCTGCTTCAGTGAGTTTTTTGCATTTACAGATACATGTTTTATAGAAGAAAGTAGTATTAGAAAGCAAATAAAGCTGGGGTTGCCTGAGATAGTCTCATAGAAGAAACAAAACCAAGGAAATTACTCAGCCAAATTGCTACAATATGCAGCAAAGCTGTCCATATTTCTTTGCATATATCACCATCAGTTACAGTTTCTTGCTTCCTTTATTTCTCTTGTGTCTTTTTGTAGTATTCTTAACATCTACTCAACTAACATTTATTAATTATTACCAAAAGCCATTTTTGAGTTTGAAGAAAGTCTCATTCAAACTATGCCAAAAGTCATTATTTAACTTTTGAATCTATATTATTCTTTTAACTGCTCACAACCAATTTCCCTATTCCCCGCCTAGATGCCTATTAAACATGCTATTTAAGTTGTTTACTCCATTCATGTCCTATGATTTATATTATACTTTCTAGTTTGGTTATTTCAGATCATGTTCGTTTCATGTATTATATCATTCACCAGCCAAATTCTTAAACTACCAAAGTGATCCCCTGTAGGATAATGCAGAAAATTATTTTTCCATCGGCAAGGGATCATCATTAGAGCGTGTGCTTACAGCTGTAATATGTCATGTTGGTCAAAGGCCATGTATCTGTTCAAATATTAATCCAAGAAATAGCCTTGCATCACAGATCATCACAATTCCTTTCTTGTGGCATCTTTTCCCAAATTTACAACAGGTATGTTTTGCACTTATTCTATTTGATGGGGTTTCTTTTCTTTGTGATAAGTGGAAGCTTAAATGATGTATTAGTCATCGACGATGTCTATTCTTTTCATAAATGTAAATGGAAAACTAAAAGTGGGAGAACTCTCTTTGTATATACTCTATGTATAAATTAGAATAACATCTTGAACAAGAACTTTTTTAGGAGTTATTTTTTGACGAGAACGTTTTTAGGAGTTTTTCTTTAATGAAAATGCTTTTAGGGATTTTTTTAAACCTTTTATCTCTTCCAATATATCATTTTCATCTTTATTTCTAAATTTTATTGCAATATTTTTTAAATAATATATCAATATATCATAATATAAATTATTAATCATAAATCTAAAATATAATTTACATGTTCAAAAATATTTATTTAATTATAACAATTTATATTTCAAAAATATTTATTTATTATATAAATTATGGTTATATAAAATAAACAGTTATCCTATGCACTCAGGGATAAGCTGTTGTGAGCGGTTGGAGGCCACTTGGTGGTAGGAGCTGGAGTAGGTGATCTTTTTGCAGGCTACCTTGGAGTAATATTTTGTTGGCATTATATATATTTATTTGGCCTATTGAGCCTTTATGGTTGGATAGATGTATATATTTTCTTATTATACTAGTTAGTATATATATATTTTAGTGGTGTATAGTGTTGTTCTGCAGTATGACGTCCATGACGGATCGTTACAAGATACGAGACTTCAAATTAGTATTATATGCATAAGTGAAATAAAATATAGAGATACATTGCATGACATGAATTACTAGTATCTTGATATGTGTTTTGAATTACAAATGTCATATTGTTATATAGTTTACTTGTGTGTACGTTATTCAACCTTAATTTGTTTCATATCAAGAACATGTAATGAAACATATCTTCCTCCTTATTTTTATTTAATTGTTTACTAAGCTCTAAGAGACTATACTCTTTTAAGAACCTCCCCTTTTAAAATAAACTCTACTAATTAATTAAAATACCATTCATTATTCAAATAACCTAGAATTAATATTAAAATTATATTAGATCTATTTTTGTGAAATTTTACAAGCCACTCCAAAATGCTAATATAGAACATCTTTAATTTTAATTAGTCCTTTAATGTTTTTAATTATTTAAGCTTTTATATAAATTTTTAGAAATAAAACAAATTTGTTTCTTTTGTTGATTTTATTACCCTTAAATTTTCATTTTCTACTCAATTCTTTTATAAATTTAATCAATTAAGTTGTTTTAAATCTACTTTTACTCCAAACTCTTTAATGAAAACATCAAATTTATAAATAAAAAAACATTTTTCTCTTTAAACTTTATTATCATTCTTATTACACACTTAAAAATTTTATAAATTAAAGAATCGACTAATTTTTTAACTTTTGAAAGTTTCAAATTTGACATTAATTATTAATTATTTCTTAAATATTTAAAATGAAAGTACAATTTTAGAAGATTAGATAGAAAATATACGATAAAAATAAAATTGTTTCTAATTTTTAAAACAATTAATGGATCCTAATTAACTAAAAATACACTATATATTAAAATCGTATCTAATTTAAATTGAAGCCGGTAAAAACAATTTCATGTCGTCATCTAATAATAATTTATTAATTTCTATAATAATTATATTAAAAATCATATAAATTATATTTTTTGATTGATTTACTATATAAAAAATTTTACATTGTCATTACAAGACTAATCCCTTAAATATGAAGTATTCTTTTCTAACCCTTTAAACATATAGTTAATTACCTATATACTGCCAGTGTAACTGTAAATTTTTTTTTACACGGACAATCAATTATATCTTTTAATTATGTCATGTTACTGTTAAAAGTAAATATGTTTATAGTAACATGACACAATTAAAAGATATAATTGATTATCAATGTAAAAAAGACTTTACACTAATAATGTATAGATGATTAATTCTTAAACATATACATACAATGATTTATAAATAAAATTAGTTACTTAAATTAGTCTTTAGAATAAAAACATGCTGTTTTTCATAAAATAAAATGAACCTAAGGGGAATAGGGGATAAATATTGGCATCACGTTAAATTCCTATCGATGTATCCTAGGACGGTGCAAAAAGGTTGAGTGTGATTTGGGTTCCGAAACATTGTATTGAACCACCACTATTAATGAATGCATGAACATGTGTCCATGTTACATCATCACTCGCGTAGGGACATATACATGACTTCAAGACGAAATTTCTTTAAATAAAAGCAATTCCACTATTTATTTTGAAGTGAATACCATAGTTTTAAGATACTCCTTTCTCAATCGATAAACCTCGTATTAAAAGAAAAAAAATAAGTTATAAATAAATAAGTGTTAGATTAGTTTTTTAATATAGTATTAATTATTTTTTCTATTTATGTTTTTTATAATATTTTTAAAAAGTAATTATTGTGTTGTATTATTTTTAGATATTTAATCATTTTTATCTTATAATAAACGTTGTCTAAAATTATTTTACATAGATAAAAAATTAATAATAAATAAAAAGAATAATAATAATTTTATAAAATTAATT